CTGGCCCTGCCGTGGGCGGGAGCCCCACCGGGGCGGCCGGAGAGCGCGGAGCCGGCCCTGGAGATGGCGCCCTCGGGACTCTTCTTGGAGCCTGGGATTCTGTCCAAGAAAAAAAGCGGTCAGGGGCTCTCCACTAGTGCTGCCGTTGTTACAGAGCCTCAGTGTGAGCAGGAGCCATGGTACATAAAGTCAAGGTGACAACTTCGCTAAAATAAAAGAGAAGGCAGAAACCCGGAGACACCTGACCCTCCTAGCCTGTGTCTCTGAAAGCCCCCTTGGCCCTTGACCCGCGTGAAGTTGTCAGGTGGCCTGGGACATGCACTCCGTATGGCAGAGAGCAAACTACAGTTAGAGCTCCAAGATCAGAGGCTGTTTCTCAGAAAGCCAGACTGACGCCGCCAGCTCCTCATCCAAATTGAGCGGAACACATACGAGGCCGCAAAAACTCCTCCGGGCTCCCCGTTCGCCCACCCAGGTTGGTGACAACCAGCCCCCACAAAAGGCACCTTCCCAAGGTACTCTGCTGCAGCCCACCCTGACCACCGACCCCCTGACCACGGAGCCTCCCCCTCGACAAGTACTTCACGGCCCACCGAGGCCACTGCCCACGGAGGAAGGGGTGCTGGCTAGCCAGTGTCTCCGGTTTGGGCACCAAGACAAGCGGTCACTTCCGCATCACATTCACGTCACCTCGGTGGGGGCAGAGGGAACCCTGCTTGGACCTTCCCAGAGGCTCTGGCTTTTACAACAGCCCGAGGATGTGGTCTGAATGCCCCTCCCGGTGGACACAGCCACACCCACGATGGGTGCGGGGGGGAGTGTTACCGCAGGTAGAAGAGCACGTAGGCCTGCTGGTTCAGAACCACCTTGATGTTGCTGGAATGGACCAGGGAATCGTTCATCTGGTACCACTGCCCGTTGCTCGCCTGGAGCAGCCCGGGGGGAGGGAAGACAAAACGAACAGCAGACGTTCCATGAGCCTCACTTTTACACAGGCAGCAAAGAATCGGCTGCGCACCGCCACCCACATTAACTGGCCATGATGCCACCTTAAAATATCTGCTACCTGTCTCACCGTGAACACAGCCCCACCCCTCCTTCCTGGCCCACAGTCCCAGGCTCTTCCTCCCGAGGCATGTGGGCAGCTCCCATTAGCGAGGCGTCTCCACACCCTGGGCCTCCCCGAGTCGTGTCCCAGGTTCTAGGCCAGAGCCTGGCCCAAGTGCGCACACACTGCCGACCCCGCATGACAGTCTCAGAGCTGCTGCCCCACGTGCTGAGGCCACACTGGGCCTGAGCACCACTGCAGAACACGCCACTCCCCAGACACGCGTGCTGCAGAACACACCACTCCCCAGACACGCGTGCTGCAGAACACGGCCACTCCCCAGACACGCGTGCTGCAGAACACACCACTCCCCAGACACGCGTGCTGCAGAACACACCACTCCCCAGACACGCGTGCTGCAGAGGCTGCCTCTGTGCCTGGACAGACCCGCCACCAACCTGCCCAGTATGCCCTCCACCACCCACCGTGAGCGGGCACCGACCTTCACGTAGCAGTAGTAGTGCCCGGCGTGGCAGCTGTAACCCGAATGGACCAGGACGGCGTACAGCCCGTACACGACGGGCTCGCCGCTGCTCTGCGACATGTACGGGCGGATGTTCAGAAACTCGGGGTAGCCCACGTCCTGTGGGGAAGCCAAGAGAAGGCGGTTGCAGGCTCTGCGTCTGGCCTCCTTAGGTCAGCACGCTGTGGTGCTTGCCTGCACGCCCTCCCCCTCTTACCGATGGACTCCAAATTCAAAAGCCCACACATGCCCTTGGCTGGCGAGCCCAGTGCAACCTGGCCAGATGTGGGCCCAGATCAAACTGTGTCCCAGCGGAAACCAGATCGACGCGTTCCGCCGGGCAACTCCCAGGATCTCACTCCCCACCGACCACTTCCCCCTGGCTTCCCGGTGCCAGTGCAGCACAGTGCGGTGGGAGTTCATACCTACCAGTACGGCCAATGAATGAATGGCTCCCCAGACAGTTAAGTCTAGAAAATCCTTCATAACAAATTCCCCTCTGGGAGAGTCAAAATGCTACATAGCTTAATAAAGGCTCGGAGAAGGCATGCAATGAAAAAGAACTACTGACATTTCAGAAGCAGTGGAGCACGGAGCACTTCCAGGGCACAGTGCTGACGTGCTGCAGAGCACCCACCGGGGAAAGGCTGATCTGGCTAGCCAGGAAGGCGGCCGAGGCTCAGGCAAGGGCCTGGCCCCAAATGGTATCACAAGGCTCTAACACCCGAGAACAGACCCCTCGCTCTTATGCAACAAGACGTCTTCTGTTAAAACACAACTGTGCAGAAGGTAAGCTTCGCTCCACACCCACAAGAAGCCACCGCCTGTGAGTGCAGCTGGTCTGGACACGAACAGGACACAGAGGACCAGAGCCTTACAGTCCACGTCCATGTCCATCACACGTTCTTAGGGACATGACCCTGCCCTGCCATCAGGAGCAGCCCAAGCCGGGAGAGGGTGGGAAAAGCCTAGGAAAACAGTGCTTCCTGGACAGGACTAAGTGTGCGTCAGGGCCGCTTAGAGATTTTGTAAAAAGCGCAGATTCCTGGGCCCGTCTTCCAGGATCTGGACTCACTGGCTCTGGGTAGAGCCGGAGTCGGTATTTTTAAAGAGCAGCCGTGCCCGCGGGGGGCACTCACCTTGGTGATCTTGCCCCCGCTGAAGTTGGCGAAGCGCTTGAGGGAAAGTGTCAGGACGTTGGACGCCCTGTGGATGGTGAAGCGCTTGCTGGCGGGCACCTTCTTCTTGCACCTGAGGGGGAAGAGGGGTCAGCTCGTGTCCCCAGGGACTGTCCTCTCACTAGTTGAAAACAGTCACACTGCGCGGTAACAACGGCTCTTCCTAAACGAGACGTGTGGCTCCTGCATCCCTAACCACCAGCGCCACCGCGGGGAGGGAAGCCACGCAGGAAGCAGGCCAGGCAGCGGAAAGCACTTCCCAGCTCGAGGCTCAGATGCAGAAGTGACTGGGCTGACGCAGCAAAGAACAAACCAGAGCTGACCGGCCGGTGACAGCGGGGCAAGCAGGGACTCGCTGCACAAAGCCAGAGACACAGAACGAGAGGGAGGGCAGGCGCATGGACAGGCAGCTTCCAGGCACAGGGGTGGGCGTAGGGGGCGCTAAAGAGGGTGTTTGGGCACAGAACGATCAACCCAAAAGCAGAATTAAGGAAACTGCTCTTTACAGCTTTCAAACGACCTAACTAGACAGTAACAACACCCCCACCCCCCCGACTGAGCCTGCACAACCCCCAAAGGACGGGTCAGAGCTGCATCTGCGGAGGTGGAAAATGCCAAAAAACGCAAGAAATGGCAGGTGCGGAATGGGGTCATCTAAGGGCGTGGTGGCAGCGAGGCCCTGCAGCTGACGGGCGCGTGCACGCCCCTGGGACACGGGACCCCTGCAGGGCCTGCTGCCCCCGAGGCCAGGGCGGCCCCTGGAGGCACAGGGAACACCGCAAACGCGGTCAGACCGCGGGGCGCCCTGTCCATGGCCGGCAGTTTGTTGGAGGACGTGCTGATGGTCTTTAAGCCATGTGGGCGGGCCACGCGCCGGCGGGAGGGGCCCCGGCCGGGCCGGGCCAGTGACCGGGACTCACCGGGCGCACATGTAGGCGTTCTCCCCGCTCAGGGCGTCCGGCTTCACAAAGAGCTCGAGCGCGCGCACGATGTTCGCCGCCTGCTGAGGGCGGAGCGGAGCGTGAGCGCCAGCGCCAGGCCCTTCCCGGCTGCGCAGCACAGCCCACACTGCGCTGGCACAGAGACTGCCTGGCGCTGCCACCTGGGCTCAAAGCCATAGCAGAGGGACAGGGGAGCCGGGCTGCCCCCCTTCCTGCCCCGATGGGCAGGCTCAGAGCAGAGCTGACCGGGGACTGGTCCCGGGTTCACACACCTGCATGCTATCTTTGTTTTTTAAATGAGAGAAACGTGCACAGGAAAAGACTGGAGAGAAATGTGTGAACACACTGGTTCCTGCTGTGAGGACGATTCTACCTGAGCGTCTCTCCCTCACCTGGTGGGTATGGGCGTGTGGGGTTGGGTGGGGTGGGATGACAATAAATCAAACCGATGGTCTAGTCAAGGAAGATGTTGGCTGGATTTGTAGCAGGCCACCAGTGACACGGACATAAAACCCAAAGAAGCACCCCTCGACGAGACCATCCGGGGGACGCCAGGTCCTATTGCAAACAGACTGGGGATGGGGGGTGGGGGGGCGGTGTGTACCCGGATCTCCAGCGCCACGTCCAGGTAGGGGTCGTAGGTGTCCGACACGCTCTTGCACACTGAGCATTTCACTGCGACAGAGCAGAGGGCGGTGGTGGGGCAGATACCCCACCAGGTGTCCGAGCCCTAGAGCCACAAGGTCCCAGCGGCAAACCAGGCCCTCGAGACCTCAGCATCCGGAGAGAGAGCTCATGGGCCCCCAGGGTCCATAAGACGACGCACATCGGGCCCAACGCTGCCCCGAGGAGCTCGGGCGTCACGGGAAGAACTGCTGCCCTGACTGCACACGTGCTTGACGGCTCGCTCACACTTCCTCCCAGGAACAGGTGCCCGTCGGGCACAGCTCGGGCACAGGGCGTCTGCGCCCAGACCCGGGCCTCGGGTCCTGCCTAGGAAAGAGCCCCGCCTGGCGCTAGCTCTCAGCATCCCCGGTTCCTCCCCAGTCCTGACAGGAAGGGGAGAGAAGAGCTTCCGCTTACCACGCGACCTGAGGCAGCCTCCAAAAATCTGGTGGACCAAAGTGGTGGCCTGCGTTTGACGGTCCAACCTGTGAGAGAGGCCACAGCCGTCAGGCCGGCGCCAGGAAGCAGCAAAGCAGCGCTGGCTCCCCGCCCACTGCACACCCAGGGCATCCCCCACAACCCGGAGCCTGGCACACCCAG